TCATAATGAAACTGTCATCGTAACTTTAAGCGTGCGGACCCTACGGTTCGAGAACAATGTAGACATGACCGAGACACGTCTTCGGACAATAACCAACAGCGGGACCTGGATGCCCATATTGGCTCCTACATATTCTACGAAGATCTTTATTGGTCAGACCGCATAACAACATACGTTGTTCCCTTTGTCATCGGTATGTTACTTGCCCGAGATTCAATTGTCGGTATCCAATACCTACTTCAATCTCGTTATCGGCAAGTCTCTTTACTCGTTCCTTAATGCATCATCCCGCAACTAACTCATTAGTTGTAATGCTTGCAAGGCTTAAGTGATGTGCATTACCGAGAGGGCCCAGAGATACCTCTCCGACAATCGGAGTGACAAATCCTAATCTCGAAATACGTCAACCCAACATGTACCTTTGGAGACACCTGTAGAGCACCTTTATAATCACCCAGTTACGTTGTGACGTTTGGTAGCACACAAAGTGTTCCTCCGGCACATGGGAGTTACATAATCTCATAGTCATAGGAACATGTATAAGTCATGAAGAAAGCAATAGCAACATACTAAACGATCGGGTGCTAAGCTAGTGGAATGGGTCATGTCAATCAGATCATTCAACTAATGATGTGATCCCGTTAATCAAATGACAACTCTTTGTCCATGGTTAGGAAACATAACCATCTTTGATTAACGAGCTAGTCAAGTAGAGGCATACTAGTGACACTTTGTTTGTCTATGTATTCACACATGTATTATGTTTCCGGTTAATACAATTCTAGCATGAATAATAAACATTTATCGTGATATAAGGAAATAAATAATATCTTTATTATTGCCTCTAGGGCATATTTCCTTCAGTCGGGACTAACAGACTCACACAGATTGCGTATTCTGTGGTGCAACAGTCCCAAACCGCTTTCATGCTGGACAGAAATATCCTTGAAGGGGTGGTCGTCCTGCATGAAACACTTCATGAAATCCATTCCAAAAAATTAGATGGTGTAATTTTTAAGGTGGATTTTGAGAAAGCGTATGATAAGGTCAAATGGCCATTCCTCCAACAGTCATTGTGTATGAAAGGTTTTGATGAGGCCTGGCGCCGACATGTTGAATCATTTGCGCAAAAAGGTAGTGTGGGAATTAAAGTTAATGATGACATAGGTCATTACTTCCAGACACATAAAGGCCTCAGACAAGGAGATCCGATGTCACCTATCTTGTTTAACATTGTGGTGGATATCTTAGCAATCTTGATAGGAAGGGCTAAGGAAAATGGTCAAGTAGGTGGATTGGTACCTCATCTTATTGATGGAGGTGTATCCATCCTTCAGTACGCTGATGATACAATCATCTTCATGGAGCATGACTTGGCCAAGGCTAGTAATATGAAGCTTGTGTTATGCCTTTTCGAACAATTGACCGGGTTAAAGATTAACTTTCATAAGAGCGAGCTGTTCTGTTTTGGTAGGGCCAAACATGAACAGGATGCTTATAGGCAATTGTTTGGGTGCGAGTTGGGAGAGTTACCCTTCTCCTACCTGGGGATTCCAATCCACCATCGTAGGCTGACAAACAGAGAGTGGAAGTGCATTGAGGACCGATTTGAGAAAAAACTGAGCTGCTGGAAGGGTAAGCTCATATCATACGGAGGCCGATTAATCCTGATTAATTCAGTGCTCACGAGCATGCCAATGTTTCTCCTATCGTTCTTTGAGGTCCCAGTTGGTGTTAGGAAGAGACTGGACTTCTATCGATCGCGTTTCTTTTGGCAGGGTGATGAGCTTAAAAAAAATATCGGCTTGCTAAATGGGATATCATCTGTAGACCAAAAGACCAAGGGGGTCTAGGTATTGAGAATCTAGAAGTTAAGAATAAATGCCTTCTTAGACAGTGGCTGTGGAAGCTCTCATCGGAGACTGATGCTATGTGGGCTCAAATCCTTCGCAGCAAGTACCTCCAGACAAAAACTCTGTCCCAGGTTATAGTCAGGCCGACCGATTCGCCTTTCTGAAAAGGCCTGATGAAAGTCAAACAGGCCTTATTTAATAGGACGAAGTTTGTGATTGGAAACGGCTCGAGTACACGTTTCTGGGAGGATACTTGGCTTGGCGGGACACCCCTGGCCATCCAATATCCGTCTTTGTACCGCATTGTTCAACGACGTGAGGTATTCGTCGCATCGGTCTTTCAGTCTACCCCCCTTAATATCCAGTTCCGACGAACGCCAGCGGGCAACCGTTGGGAAGAATGGCTCCGTCTAGTTAGGAGACTGACGGATGTCCAGCTTTCCCAACAACCCGATGAATTGCGTTGGAAATTGACTAAGTCTGGAGTATTCACGGTTAAATCAATGTATATTGATGTTATTAATTCGGACTCCATTCCTACGTCTAAGCATGTTTGGGATGTCAAAGTTCCTTTGAAAATAAAAGTGTTTATGTGGTTTGTCCATAAACAAGTTATTTTAACTAAGGACAACTTGATAAAAGCGTAATTGAACAAGACCTACTAGGTGTAGTTTCTGCGATCGGGATGAGACTATCAAACACCTCTTTTTTGATTGCCCGTTGGCCAAGGTACTTTGGCAGACAGTCCACATTGCTTTTAATATCAATCCACCGAATTCTGTTAATGCGTTATTTGGGACTTGGCTTAATGGGATTGAGCCTGGTTTAGCGAGACATATTCGGGTTGGAGTTTGTGCTTTGCTGTGGACTATCTGGACTTGCAGAAATGATTTGGTCTTTAACAGAATATCATGTATACATTTTTTGCAGGTCATATTCCGAACTACGGCACTGATCCGTTCGTGGTCGCTACTCACCCAGACGGAGGCCAGGGAGCATTTGGTTACTGGATCTTTCCGCTGGGAGATGGTAGCTCGGGATATCTTCAACCGGTTTGGATGGCGGTCATGTAATAGGATAGGTACTTAGTTTCCCTATCTAGTTTGAGCCGGCCGGTTGTGGCATCTTGTCCTGGCTAGTTGGTGTTTCTAGCCTTTATTTGGCTCTGTGTGAGCTTTATGTACTTTTTTTTTTACTTTTGGAGACCTTTGGAATCATGTTGGTACTTCTTTATTTGGTTATTAACATGGCCGTATGCATCGTTCTAATGCAGAGGCCGGGGAATCCCCTTTTCGAAAAAAAAAGGTCATTACGTCAGACACCAGAATATTTATATCCGGTTAGCTGTTTAATCCTGGCGGACCTGATCAAAGCACGGTGCTTCTTCTCTGATGGAAAAGGCACGGTGCTTTGTATACAGACAAGGATCTATATATGGTCTTCCATTCGGACGTGTGTGTCACCTAGCAAGTAGCAACACAAACAATCCCTTAAAAGGGAAGGAAACAGCTCGCAGACAAATTCGTCTGAACTGTTCTTGTGCCTCCATGCTTGTTCTTGTTCCTGGCTGCTATATATACACACAGGGAGAAGCGATCGAGGGAACACTCTTCTCGAAGCCAGATATGGATTCCAGAACAGCATTCTGCGGCGCTCTGCTACTGCTGGTGACGCTGCTGCCTCTTTCAGCCAGCGCGCCGAGCAAAGTAAGATCCATGCTCGATTCCTCTTCGCACAGCATTTATCTTATCTTCTTTCCAATCTTTTACTGAGAACATTTTCTTGTTGAAATTTCAGCTCTACATTGTGTATATGGGGGAGAAGAAACATGATGACCCGTCCGTGGTCATCGCGTCGCACCATGACATGCTAATATCTGTTTTTGGGAGGTACTACTGGCTATGAGTTTCATGTCGCATCATAGATGTGTTAGCAGGAAACAGTCGTGATTTGCTCACCTCCCTTTTGTTTTATTATTACTTGAAACAGCAAGGATGAAGCCGTGAGGTCGATAGTTTACAGTTACAAGCATGGATTTTCTGGGTTCGCGGCTATGCTAACAAAATCTCAAGCTGTGGCAATCGCAAGTAAGTAATTGTCAACCCTTTTTTTATAAGACGGGGTTAACCCCCCGGCCTCTGCATCATCATTGCAATTTACACAACCATATTTGTTTGGAGTATGATTATTAATTGTCAGTCCTGAGGTGCCATGAGCTTGCTATCTTTATATCAACTTGCATGATCGAAATGAACTAATCAACATATATGAATGTAGAATTTCCTGAAGTTGTCTCTGTGAAGCCTAATATTTTTCACAAAACGCACACAACTCGGAGCTGGGATTTCCTTGGCCTTGACTATAATCAACCGCCACAACAACCGGGGCTCCTCAAAAGAGCAAAGTATGGTGAAGATGTCATTATGGGTGTGATCGATACAGGTTCGTAATCCCATCCTTAAGTTTAAACCCCGAACATGAGAAATCCCAAGACCAGGAATCAATTAACCCCATGGATGTAAATGCTTCTTTATAGGCATATGGCCTGAATCACGAAGCTTTGATGACAACGGCTATGGCCCCGTGCCGGCACGGTGGAAAGGAAAATGCCAGAGTGGCCAGAAGTTCAACGCCACTGGTTGCAACAGAAAGATCATCGGTGCGCGGTGGTATGGCCGTGGCATCAGTGCCGAGTCACTAAAGATCGACTACAAGTCACCTAGGGACCTCAATGGCCATGGCACACACGTCGCCTCAACTATCGCCGGTGGGGAAGTGCAGGGCGTGAGCTATGGAGGCCTAGGCATGGGCGTGGCACGTGGCGGAGCACCACATTGACGACTTGGTATCTACAAGGTGTGCTGGGTGGATGAGGGTTGCCCTGACGCGGCGGTCCTTGCTGCCATCGATGACGCCATACATGATGGGGTTGACGTCTTGTCGCTCTCTGTTGGAGGGGTTGGTCAGGTGTACTCTGGGACGTTGCATGCTGTGCAAAGAGGGATCTCCGTCGTGTTCGCCGGAGGGAATGATGGCCCTGTGCCACAGACAGTGACGAATGCCGTGCCATGGGTTACGACGGTGGCCGCTAGCACGATTGACCGGTCTTTTCCGACCCTAATATTGCTTGGGAACAAAGAAAAGCTGATGGTACGTACCAAACAATTTCACTCCTTTGTTTTAGAAAAGTATGTAAATTATTTCTTATATTTTCCATCTCTTAAGAAATATTACAGGGAAGTATTACCTTGCCCTTCTCAAGGGATTGAAAAACCCCATGGAAAATATTAATAATGGATAAAAAAACAGGTGAAAAATGTTATTGGATAAGACGTGCTCCAATCCTGAAATAGTTCATATAAGATAGCATGAATGTGGAGGATTGGTCAATCTGGATTTTTTTCCTACAATTTTACTAAATAATAACCTTTTGACTCTCTGAGCACGAAAGTGACGTTCAAACCAACCCGGGGAAAATAAATGGTTTGCTCCTCCTTGAAGCTTTACTTAAATCATTGCTGGTTCTCCACCAACTATATCGTATCTTGTAGCTTTCCTCAGTTAGCTTGTTCTTTAATTTGTGATCAATTTCAAACGCAGGGGCAATCTCTAAATTACAATGCAGCTATGAATAACAGCGGCTCTCAGGCCCTTGTTTTTGCTGGGAGGTAATGAAAGAAACCAGTCTCTTGACGACATTTGATTAATAGTAAATGCCGCGCTTTAGGACAAAACCATGTTCAATTTTAATACTTTTGAGCAGCTGCGACCCGGAATCACTGGCCTTGGGCAATGTCAAGGGCAAAACCGTCCTTTGTTATGCACCAGAAGAGGCATCGCGGTGGTCGCCCCAGTTAATACTCCCTTATGCCATCAATTACACTATTGAGGCCGGTGCAAAGGGCCTCATCTTCGCACAATACACCGCCAACAATCTTGACAGCCTGGTCGGGTGCGAGGGATTTATGCCTTGCGCTCTGGTGGATTTCGAGATCGCACATCGAATTTTCTCCTACTGGGACATGACTGAGTGAGAATTTGTCGAATTGTTGGAAACTGCAGCGTGAAAATATTTGAACACTCAGTTTGCCATCTCCTTATACAAGAACTAATTCATGTTTGTCATGTGTCTAGGAATCCGGTGGTGATGGTGTCTCCGGCTGTAAGTGTTGTTGGAAATGGGGTGTTGTCGCCGAGGGTCGCCTCGTTCTCCTCCAGAGATCCAAGCCTATTGTTCCCTGGCATACTGAAGGTGTATATCATTATCAACTTAAGGCAAATAGTTGAATTTTTGTCACTGTTTGTTTGCTATCTAGCCTCTCTAGTTTTTCAGAATTAAAGACTTACATACCTAATTCATGATAAAAATTAATGTTTTGACAGCCCGACATTACTGCTCCTGGCGTCAACATATTGGCAGCGGTGCGCGGCTCCTACGTGTTCTATTCTGGGACATCAATGGCGTGCCCACATGTCTCCGCAGTGACTGCGATGCTCAAGTCGGTTCACCCTCAGTGGTCACCTGCCATGATCAAATCGGCCATCGTCACCACAGGTAGGAAAGTAATAACCAAAATACGTCAAAATAACTCATTTGAATATATGACTAACTTGATGATTCCTTGGCATTGGTTGAAGCATATGTGACCGATCGTTTTGGCATGCCAATCCAAGCAGAAGCAGTCCCAAGGAAACTAGCCGACCCCTTCGACTTTGGTGGTGGACACATTGACCCAAATAGAGCCGTTGACCCTGGCTTGGTTTACGACGTTGATGCAAGGGGGTACAACAAGTTTTTCAACTACACCCTTGGATATTTAGGCGGCTGTGAGTCCTACTACCTCAATCTCAACCTTCCGTCAATTGCCGTGCCAGACCTCAAGGACCGTGTCATGCTTCGGCGCACCGTGACTAACATTGGGCCAGCGGAAGCAACATATCATTTAGTGGTTGAAGCTCCAGCGGGGATAGACGTGTCCGTAGAGCCATCTGTGATCAATTTCACCCAAAGCACTAGTAAAAGTGTGACGTTTATGGTGACATTCACAACAAGGCAGAGAGTACAAGGAGGATACACTTTTGGGAGCTTGACATGGTCAGACGGAAGTACCCACTCAGTGAGAATTCCTATTGCGGTACGGACTGTGATACAAGACTTTGTTGCAGATACATCTTAAGCTCATATTCTTTGTATTATACACATAATTTATGTATTCGTGTGGTTGGCATAAGAAAATGTAGAAGAAACACTTTAATTTTGTACATCATCACAGGAAATGTTATACTGGAATAAAATACGATTCTTTGCTAAGGAGAGGTTTATTCACAAACTTTTACGAAAAATGAATTAATGAGAAAACCACGGATCATATCGACATGAAATAGACTAAGGGAGAACGACGGATCAAATCTCCGGAACCTTTCTTTCTGGATGAAAACGTTTCTAAACTGGAAGTGAAAAGAAATAAACACGATCAAATTTTCTTAGCTGGGCCAAAATCACCGAATTCATGAATGGCTGCTAATGTCCAAAATGCTCGTGTTAGTACATTGAAGTTAATTTAGATTTACATTGTAGTTTGCACGATTTCCTTTGTGATATCAAAATTTTTATGCCTTGTTGTCCTTGGGTCCAAACTTCAAGATCCTTATTTTTGCGTTTGTCAATTAATTGTTCTGAGCGCCCATGTCCATTTTAATTCTATTGCTCCAGATAGGATTCTTTGGCGGGTGAAAAAAATAATCTAATACACATGAAAATTAGTTTAATAAAATTCGGTTTCACATTCCTTTTGTAATGATGGATTATCCCCCACCCTTACCTCGTCCTCGATATGTCTCTTCCGATTTGAGTATCATTGACCTTAATGCCCCACTCCTCACGCTGGCTATGGAGGAGGTTGTGTGAGCCACCCGCGTGGGGATCCAAAGGTTGTCTCCCATCATCTCCTTCCGGCTATCAATTTCTCTTGGCGTTCTAAGTTCCACGAAATTTATGCCATATTATCCTGACACTTGACGGTCGACACCATCGCTAATCCTCGTCTAGGAGGGTTGTCGAGAGGTTGATTCTGCACACTAAGAGGGAGTTCCACCGCCATCAACTCTTTTCCTCTCATCTCCATCATGTTTCTTCCATCCATATGCAAGTAATCTGTTGTAGGCAGGTGGATGGGAATTTGACGATGCCAATCATATAGTAGTGCTAAGATTATAGGGTTTTGATACAACTTTGTTATGCTTAATGTCTACTAATAGGGCCCAAGTAATGTGGTATCATATATTAACCATATAAGTTTTCATGATGCCAATGTGTCTGGATTGTACTTGCAAGTGTGATATGTACCTATTATAGCCTCAAAAGTGACCCCGAGGGTGACCGGGATATCAATGGGGAGTGTTGTGATTTGATGTTTCCATGTATTCACGAAGTGTTAATGTGTTGGTACGGTTGTCTCACAAAATGACGCCTTAATTACCCTTTGTTTAAACTATGATCACCGTGACATGGGAGGGTAGGACTATAGATGCCGGGCAAGCTCTTGTTCTTATAAATAAGCAAGTTCAACTACATACTAATACATGCCTACAAAAGTAGGAGAACATGAGCTTGGTTTTACATGCTTTGTTATGTGCACTATGATATGATTGATGATGTCTATGTAACGTCCCAATATCCATTCTCGGGCCTATGTTTTCCATAAATGTGTGTTCTCTTTAAATACTTGTTAGTTGGCTTTCTCAGTGAAAGAATTGAAAACCATGAGACGAGCTTAGAGAGGCGACCACATCACACTATGTCGGCTCGAATTACTGGATTTATATAATGTAATAGCTGGAGAAACGGATCAGCAAAACCAGTCTTTGCCCTTGTAAATTTATTTTTCGAAGAAAAAGTCTCTTGGAACTTTATTTGAAAACAGGCAAAGTTACATCTTTGAGTACATGCGATTATAGGAAAGTTGGCGGGTCTATATCCTTGACGTGCCCATGGAATATTTGAATGTGTCACGTTTGTCAACTTTGTTACGTATTACCTATACCGCCGCCCGCGTTTGTAGAACGATTAAGACGCATGTGGAACGATTAAGACCCATGTGCAAAGCCGTGGAAGCTTGTTTGAAAGTCGACCAGGTCATTGCACGAGAGAGCATATAATTAATTAAGATCTATATCCGGTTTGGTACTAATAGCCGCCAGGACCTGATCAAAGCATGGTGCTTCTTCCTCATTACAAAAAGCACGGGGATTCCTATATAGACAAAAGGATTAGTCTTTGCTCCTCACGCGTGTGTGTCGCTGTCACCTAACTAACAACACTGAAACATTCCCTCTGAAATGAGAAAAAAGACACTCAAACAAATTGGTTTGAACTGTTCTTGCACCCCATCCTTATTGCTCCTGGCTGCTATATAGACATACAAACCGAACGAGGGAACACAAACACAACAACATAGCACTCTTCTCCAAGCAAGATATGGATTCCAGAACAGCATTCTGTGGCGCTCTCCTACTGCTGGTAATACTGCTGCCTGTTTCAGCTAACGCGTCGAGTAAAGTAAGATACACACCCGAGTCCTCTCTCAATTTGCTTTCTTTCCTGATATCTGTTTTTTGTTGAGAACTTATGCGACAAAATGAATTTCAGCTCTACATCGTGTATATGGGGGAGAAGAAGCATGATGACCCATCCATGGTCACCGCGTCTCACCGTGACATGCTAACCTCTGTTTTTGGGAGGTACTGTAACTAGCTACCAATTCATTTTGTTCAAAACAAAAACAATCAGGAGTTCATGTGAGTTCATGTTGCATCGTCGACGTATTAGTCGTGACTTGCTCACCCTCATTTTACTTGACAACAGCAAGGATGAAGCCTTGAGGTCGATAGTTTACAGTTACAAGCATGGATTTTCTGGTTTTGCGGCGATGCTCACCGAGTCTCAGGCTGAGACAATCGCAAGTAAGTGATTGTCAGTCCTATAGGCTCCTACCTATCATCGTATCTACTTGGATGACCGACAAGAACTAATCAACATATTTTTGATGTAGAATTCCCAGAAGTTGTCACTGTGAAGCCTAACACTTATCACGAAACGCACACAACTCGGAGCTGGGACTTTCTTGGCCTTGACCATAACCAACCAAGACAACAACCGGGCCTACTCAGAAAAGCAAAGTATGGTGAAGATGTCATCGTGGGTGTGATCGATACAGGTTTGCAGTCCGACCCCTCAAGCTTAAATCCTGAATATGAGAAATTCCGATACCGAATCAATTGATTCCCATGCTTATTTATAGGCATATGGCCTGAATCACGAAGCTTTGATGACAATGGGTATGGCCCTGTGCCGGCACGGTGGAAAGGGAAATGCCAGACTGGTCAGGATTTCAACGCCACAAGTTGCAACAAAAAGATCATCGGTGCGCGGTGGTATGGGCGTGGAATCAGTGACGAGGTGCTAAACAGAAACTATAAGTCGCCTAGGGACATTGAAGGCCATGGCACACACGTCGCGTCGACCATCGCTGGCAGGGAAGTGCAGGGCGTGAGCTACGGAGGCCTAGGCATGGGCGTGGCACGCGGCGGGGCGCCACGTGCGCGCCTCAGTATCTACAAGGTGTGTTGGTTGGGTGGGAGTTGCCCTGAAGCAGCGGTCCTCGCGGCTATCGATGATGCTATGCATGATGGTGTGGACGTCTTGTCGCTCTCGATTGCTGGGGCTGGTCACGAGTTTCCTGGGACACTGCATGCTGTGCAAAGAGGGATCTCTATCGTGTTTGCCGGAGGGAATGATGGCCCTGTGCCACAAACGGTGGCTAATGCCCAACCGTGGGTTACAACGGTGGCCGCTAGCACGATTGACCGGTCTTTCCCGACCTTGATATCGCTCGGAAACAAAGAAAAGCTTGTGGTACGTGCATGCTACAAACAAACATTCTCCAAGTATTTATTTGGTCTGAGGAAATGATAGATCCGGGGCTATAAAATTGGTTTTATAGTTTTTGACAAATTAACTTGATTCGTCTCAGAGCGTGGAAACAAACAAAAAGTACATTTAGCTCGTCCCTGAAGCCAGCTTTCCCTGATTCCTTTAATTACTTATTAATGTGTGCTTGATTCGAAATACAGGGGCAATCTCTTCACAACAATGCATCTGTGATCAGCGGCAACTTTAAAGACCTTGTTTATGCCGGGAGGTAATGAAATAAAACTTCTGTAGTTATGCATCTGTAATCACTTGACGCATTTGTTGTAGTTGTCCACTTTTGTAACCACGATTCAGTGTTTTATCAACTATACTGAATTACAACTTCTGCGCAGCTGTGACACGGAGTCGTCACTGGCATTGAGCAACGTCACCGGTAAAATCGTCCTATGCTATCAACCCGTGGCGGCGAGAAGCATGCCGCCTCGACAAGCACTTCCCATAGCCATCAATCTCACCACCATGGCTGGCACCAAGGGCCTCATATTTGCACAGTACACTACTAACCTCCTCGACTTCCTGCCTTTGTGTAGGGGCGTTATGCCCTGTGTAGTGGTGGATTTTGAGATCGCACAACGAATTGCCTCCTATTGGAGTTGGGACAAAGGGTGAGTGCATGTCGTGTTGTCTGAAACAGACTTGAATGCGTTTTCTTCTTCTCCGGAAACTCATGCCAGTCACGTGTCATGCTAGGAATGCGGTGGTGAAGGTGTCACCTGCCATGACCGTTGTCGGAAAAGGGGTGTTGTCGCCGAGGGTCGCCTCATTCTCGTCGAGAGGTCCAAGCATGTTGTTCCCTAGCATACTCAAGGTATATATCATTCTCAATTTCTTAACTTGAGACAATTGTTGCCATTGTCTTGTTTGTTACCTAGCCTTCCTAATTTTTCTTAACTTACGACTTCTTAACTAATTCTCAATACACATGTTTGAACAGCCCGACATTGCTGCACCTGGCGTCAGCATCTTGGCAGCGGACCGCGACTCCTACGTGTTCAAATCCGGGACATCCATGGCGTGCCCGCATGTCTCCGCTGTGACCGCACTGCTCAAGTCGGTTCACCCTGGCTGGTCACCTGCCATAATCAAGTCTGCCATCGTCACCACAGGTGTGAACATTGAAATACAAAAAATACATGAAAACAATTCGTCAAAATATAAAACTGATTTGATTGTTTCTTGTCTTGG